AACATTTCTTAGATAACTCTGGGTTCTGTAGAGTATTATAAAACCTAACCCCATAAAGGTTCCCAACCCCAGGCCGCAGCATGCTGGTCACTTCCAGACTACAGTATGCTGGTCCACAGTTTACTGGTCTACAGTTTGCCAGTCCACGGTTTAAAAAGGTTGGGAACCGCTGCCATAAATGATAGAGCACGCAAGACCCAAGGCAGATCTGCACCCAGTGAACCTGAAGGAGACTCTCTGTTATAGTTCAGTCTCAAGAGGAACATGAAGGATTTTTATACAGACAGGAAGTATAATATTATATCCTGTTGTATCTAGGTATAAAATAACTGTATAATAAGCTTAGTATAATTGGTTCCATAATTTCAGCCAAATGCTCAAATATTGCTGTTTGAGTCAAAACTGTGCAGATGTCCTGATATGGTGGTCAGGAGCTGAGAGAAGATCTATGGAAATATTAATGTTCGATTCGCCACTAACAGAGGACTGAGTTGTCAGATATTGTTCACTTCTAGGTTGCCTATGTCAAGGAATGAGTGATCGAAGAGACTATACTGTCTATAGAAGTGTGAAGAACTAAAATTGTTGGAGTGGTGGGTTACAAGGAAGCTTGCTTTGCTACTTGTTGCGGCGTTCGTGTGCCGATTATGATTTTGGTTGCAGAATTGTGCCACTAGCTGTTCTGACAACATTAAAAGTCAAAAGTAGTGAGTCAAATGAACTTACAGTGATATTTTCAAGACTTAAACGAGTCATACTTAGATACTTAGATGAGCTTGTGTTCATATGTATGTAAATGTTTGTTTCTGTTCTACTAGAACTCGTGCTGAAGGTGAGAATTCAGAATCTTACCCTTCGAGAAAACGATTTCATTGAAATTGAACTGGATAGACAAGAGCTGACCTATAAGGAACTGCTCAGAGTGAGTTGCTGTGAACTGGGTGTTAATCCAGAACATGTAGAGAAGATCAGAAAATTACCAAATACAGTATTAAGAAAGGTAAGAACTTTCAACTATAAGCAAAATATTATTTGCTACAATGTTTAACATAGAAAGTACTTTCATGCATCACTCAAGGGCCCTGCAATATCCCCTTCATCTTTGAATATGAGTTGTGGTACTACTGTCGTGCATCATAAAAGCTTAACACGTATATAGAAATCCAATTTTACATAATCATTGATAATTGAGTTTTCCCACAAGTCAGTGTTTGTGGAACAGATGGGCCACTGAAAAAAGGAAGATGGACTTTCAGAGGACATCTGATGGTCGCCCATTGCTGCCTTCAGCTAATCAGGCATAGCTGTTGCACAGTTAGATTTTGCGGCTTTGAACAGAGATGTGGCAGTGGATGAGAGATGTCGAAGAGGGTTGGAGTCCTTTGGTTACAAACGCAGTGTCAGTTGCTGTAATGTTTCACAGCATGTTTCATAATGTTAAGGAACAAGCTTTTGCTTTTTTTTTTTTATGCCCCATCTTAATGCCTTCCCTGTAAAGTTGCAACGGCTAGCACGATTATGCTTATGCGGTTTTACATGTTACAAAAATAAATAGATAGATAAAGCAGGAGACAGAAATCAAGAAACTTGCAGGCTTAGTCATCTATGCTCCACAGTTCCACTGTGTTGAGAAAGGGTATAAAAAGCTCCCCCCAACATAGCTGGCAAACCTCCTCATGCGGACAAAGCTTCTGGTTCTTTTTAGGAGATGGCCAAAAAAAAAATCCTGAATAAAAAATGAGCTAGTAGGACTTTGCAGCAGGGGATAAAGTGACTGGCTGAAGAAAATGCCAAAGTAATGCGACATGCAATAGCAATGTCTGCTTTATAGTTCAATAAGTAAGATTCACACTGATGGGTAGGTACCTCTGTCATGCTGACATCATTCATTTATTTTATTGCTTAAATACGCAACACTTAACTCCTGTACTATTACTATAACTTTTGCTAACTTATTGTGTTATTTATTTAAAGGACAAAGATGTTGCAAGGCTTCAGGATTTCCAAGAACTGGAGCTGGTCCTGACAATAGGAGACAAAAACTTTCTATGCAGAAATGCTGCATCAACTCTGACCGAAAGGCCTTGTTATAACAAGAAAGCATCAGAGCTGACTTATTAACTGTTTAAAGAGGCATAACACAAATACATTTGTATCTTTTATTTTAAAGCAATGGATTCTGTGTTTAACCATAGTATCTGTACCTGGTAAGGGCTAAAACCTGAACAAAATCTATTTTGTTACCTTTTGAGATAAAGTTAACATCTTATGCACAGTTAATCTAAAACTGACGTGCAAGGGAGTAACTTCTGACATAAAAGTTTGCTTCTGAAAAGAAAGCAATGGCAGAATTAGTCTGTTTATGGAGCAATCCGTTCCTTATTAGAGAATAATCCCTTATGTGAAACACTAGAGTTAGAAGCTCTCAGGGAAAAGCTTAAATTAGACTGATCTAATAATTGCTTGCTATAAATAGCAGAAGCATTTATGCTAAAGGATAGAAGGTAAAATACATCTACTGTTTGTACTGAGGTACTTACTTAGTGTGTGCAGACTTCCTATTGCCACTAATGTGAGCTACTTCTGTGTCTTGGGGGAAAAAAAACCCAAAAACCCAATCAGTCCCTTTTTAAAGGGTGTTAAAATGGAAGGATTTAAATCTGGGAAAGAAGCACAAAACTTGTTTTGTTCGATTTAAGTATAATTAAGTGATTAATCAGCTGTGATTTCTCAGGTTGGAAAAAACACAAAACAAAAAAGAATAGTTGTTACAATACGCTAACTGACCAAAACAGCTAGGACCTTTTTTAATCTCAATTGCTTGTCAATACACAGTAGTGAAAAGATGACTTTTTGGTATCCAACATTATTTGTTGCTTTGTTGGCAAGAAGTTTCTCCAATAGTGCTTTACAATGGCAATTATTTTTCACTCCGGGGGGAGGGGTAAATTCTGTGTCTGATTTCCATGCGAGTAACGAGCACAAATATTGCAGTTTCATTTTCTCCTCAAGTCAGACTTTCCTGATAAATATTCAAAGCTATACATTTCCCGTGCAAATGGAAACCAGTAAAATACGTGGCATCTTAAAAACTGGGATGACATTCAAATCCAGGGATTCAGAGGATTTTCCTTTTTGAATGATTTGTATTTACCTGTTTTGTTTCCCTTTCTCTCATGGTAACCATTCCCTGTCCTGTTAACGTGAATTCAGTGTTAGGCTACTCTGCTATAAAATCCTGAAATAATTAAATAGAAAAAACAGTAAAGACAGGCTTGCTGGAATTTTGTCTAGCTTACAGGATTTTTTTTTATTAGCAACCTCTTCTTAATGAGAAGAAAAATACTGGTACGTGCTATGAATTGGCTGAACACTAGATAAGAGAGAAGACGTATTTGACTTGTCAGACTTCCCACTGTTTTTCTCCTTCACTTTTTTGGAAACTATTGGCACTAAGCGCTGGATCTGCACAAGAACCTAGGTGTCCTACCATCCAGGGGAACCTTCAGCCCCAGTTCAGTGCCTAAGTTCCTCTGTGCTGTGCATATAGAAATGTTAGCTTCTTAAGTCCTTTTGTGGACCTAACCATAACATCCTAACTCTGTAAATTAATTGAATTCAAACTCTTTCCTTTAGCTGAGAGTCTCTAACAAGAAAAATGGCAGTAAAATTGTTATAGTCTCTTTTTACAGCAGGATCCAATGGCTATCCTATTTTTTAAACTAATTTATTGGTGTTAAATTAACTACTATAGAATGGAAGCATATATATTAGAACAATTTCTCATTACACTATTAATGACCTGTGGCATTTAACTGGCTTAGACATGTCATAGGCCTTAGCCAGTCCGTGAATAAAGGCACAATACTCTTATGTATAAATTGGTAGGATTTTGCTAGTAAAATGATCAGCCATTGAATTGACTGATTTCATTGGTATATTGATGATGTTGCACAGTTGCTAATAGCTATCTATGCATTCAGAGGAATATTTTTATACTTTATACCATATAGAATTTATAACTGAAAATATCAGCTTTGCTAGCTGAATTAATCAAGTAACTGTATAACATTCACACTATTGTATCTGATCAAGGATTCATGTACTTTGTGCATTACTATGTGAAAACTATGTTAACATTAAATGAATTGCTTGGCTGTAGACTCTTGTTTCTATTTAAGATGCATTCTTTTTATAATTAATAAATAATTATTTTTGGTCTTCTCACATGGTTACAGAATTTTTTTTTCTTTCAGTCATAGGAAAGAAAGAACAACGTTTTCTCCTTTCCATTGTTGTTGGTAAGGGAGATGAGGAACCAAAAAAACAAAAAAAAATGGACGTGCCTTTAGATCTTAGTGACAATCATTTGCTGCACAGAATTCTTCCTTCATCATTTACCATCTAAATTTCCTCATGTAGTAGATGTTATCTACATATTATTTGGAAATATATAACCATATAAAACAAACAATTGTAACCGATGTAAGAAAAATAAATGGTATACCATAAAAAAAAAAAAAAAATCAGTTGCTGAACTTGTAGATGACTTTTCTTATCCACGTTGCTTTTATACAGAAAGCAAGTATTAAATAAAGTAACATCTCTTCAGTTATATCTTTACAAGCATTTATTCAGACTCCGCTGAAGTTAATAGAAATTGCTGTGTTAATTGCACTTGATTTTACATTAGGTCTTATATGTGGGTGTATTTCTACATTTACAATTATTGGTAGGAATGAGAAGAAAAGTGTATTAACTCCAATTCTTCAGGCTGTTCCAGGCTGATGTAGAAATGAAGCTCCATGATGTCACTGGCTTGTGGCTCTGAAACTTTGGTATCCAACATTCTTGTCCTGTCAGCATTAACTATTTATAAGGAATGGTTTGGGACAAGTGAATCACTCTTTGAGTATTTCCTTTCAACTGAACCCCAACAATAAAGTCAACTGTCCCATTTCAAGTTTTGTGAGTTTCAATACAAAGGCACAGAAAAGGTGTATTTTGTATCATTAGTTTTAATTTCTAATGATAAATCAGAATACAGTACATGTTACCTTACGGTACATACATTTTCCTGGCAGGACACTTGGCGTTCTTTGAGGAAAAGAGCCATTAATGAAATTCTTCATATAGAAAATAGTTTTAAAAATATAAAATTCAGGTTTGGTCACTGGGGGTGTAAAATACATTGTTCTGTATCACAAGCTTAGTCTGCTACAAAGACCATTCTGTAAAATACAGTAAACTCATGGGTTGCTTTAAGTGGTATAAAAAACAAGTTTTGTTATGCCAGTCCAGCATCTTTGGCCATACTGTAGAAAATACGTCTTGATGCTATAAGTCTTGTTGGTGTATCAAATTCAGCTATAGTTCCTTTATCTAGAACCAGGACCCTGTATCAAATAAAGAAAGAAAAGCTGATGTTTCAGAAAAATCTCACTTCTCTTAGGAAACGATGCCCCCTCAGCAATGGAAGCACATATTGCAAACCTTCCCCACTTATTGTGTAAATCACGTTCACATACTATGACATGATACAATGACAGTGCCACCGAAACTTGACTGACGTGGACGTTTCATGAGTGTTAACTGAAGAGCTATAACAACCCCCCTAGATGCACTAGAACGGGCACACTCCAGTTCAAAAAAATAAAAAACCCACAGCATGCAGATGAAAGTGTTTCATTGTCCATGAGTATATCTAATGCATGCAGAAAAAGAGCTGTAGATGGTGCTATTTTTGAAAAGTCACTTGTAGCACTGAGTATCACTAACCTAACAAGAACGTTAAGGGCGTCTCTATGCGGGGAGCAGAAATTTGCTCAGGAAAACAAAAATTTAACAAAGGACTATGGCTGGAAAGTTCAAACTTGACAAATTCAGATTAGAAACAGACTGACATTTTTAAGCTTGAGGGAAAGTAACCATTGGTTCATTTTAGTAAGGACCGTGGTAGATTTTCCATCCTTGGAAGTTTCCAAGTTAAGATATTTTTCTGAATAGAGATGTTCTAGTTCACCTGCAGCTATTGGACTTAAAACAAGTATTAATACAATAGGTCAGACTAGGCCTTCAAATCTGCAAATTTCTGCGTCACCAGAGAACGCAGGTACTAGACTCCTTCAGCAAAATGGATTATAAAAGCAAATGGTCGGAGCATGGCAAAAAGGGGCTTTTTCCTTTTCTCTCTCTCAAAAAAAAATCATTATGCTCATGACTTGCGATAGAAAGACTGGTTAAAAGGTCTCTCAGACTCGGTAGTTGCACTTTCTGATTTTAATAAGGGCAGTAGGAGAGGTTAGAAGTCCTACAGGATGATCAGAGAAGTAAAAAAACCAAAACAAACCAACCCATATTTCTGGTCATATTAACCTCATTCAATACATTTACTGTTTCTGGTTCTTTAAGTTTACCTTGTATAATCCATAATTGTGTTCAGTCTGTGCGCTATTGTTAGTACAGTGCAATCTTCAAATTGAGTCCTGACTGTCATCTGAATTAAATCATCTGTCTCAAGGTCAATTGCTGCAGTTGCTTCATCCAGAACTAAGATTCTTGTTTTGCGAAGGAAGGCTCTTGCCAAGCAGACCAGCTGTCTTTGACCAACGCTGAAAGCAAAGACAAGGTTGATCAGCAACAGGTTCCTTAGGGCTGCCTGCTTTTCTTTGTTCAAAATTTAATACACTAGACCTGTTTTTTTTCATAGGCTAGAACTATTAGTCAAATCATGTGTTTTTTGTTAAATATTCTTCTACTGGCTTTTGAGCTTGTAAAAGATAACTGCTACTCTAAAATACATATTTACTTTCCAATTAACATACTGGTTATAATAATAAGCATCATTAACCGGATGGTTCAATGATTACAGTCAGTAACGCTTATTATAGACAGTTTGTGCAAATTATAAATGCCTCCAGCTGTGGTTGCTATTATAATGTGCATTCCCCAATCTGCTTTCAACAAGTGCATTGCTATTAAAATCATCCCACAAGACAAACTGGCAAATTAGAAGAAAAAAGAAAGTTGTGAGGTGTGTAAAGGAACTTGAGTTCTTATGGAATTGCTTTGGTTGAAGCTGACAGTCCTATTTTATTCAAGGAACAGGCACAGTTTGGAGAAGAGAAGCTTCCTCCACCGATAAGCCTCAACCTTGACATGGTGAAGACACCTTTGGAGTTAGAAAAGAGTTGGGGCTTCCTACTGATGCAGCGTTGCACCAGAAGCCAATATTACAACGCATTTTATCATCATTGTTCATGTTTGCAGAAGTGTAGGGTCCTGACATTCAATACTGAGCTCAGACATTTCAAAGGACCCAGGACAATGTCCCGGAGTAGAGGCCAAATTCAGGAAAGGAACCCTATTCAGTGCAGCACAAGAGATGCTTCACTCATTCTGGTGACAGCTTCAGTGGGATTCTCAAATGCTATCCCACACCGGGCTAAATGGAATTTGAAATACGGGGCAAATAATTCTCAGGATGCCAAAATCACAATGATTATGTATCTACCGTAGAGTCCTCGTTACCTAAGGTTCTCTCCCCCTTCTGAGCATTCGTAGTCCAGCATGGCCGGCTGACCGCTGACAAACCTCTTCAAGTGCGACAGTTCAAGTGCTGTCCATATTTCTTCATCTGAGTAACTATTAAATGGATCCAGATTCATTCTCAGCGTTCCAGAAAAGAGAACTGGGTCCTGAATAAATAACCCATAGTGATTAGACAAGGGGTTTAATTGTTTATAACTCGGTATTAAGCAGATTTTCATACAAAAGAGCGGTGGAGGCCAACCTTTTTGGCAGATGTGCCACAAATTGCCCCTGCACCACCCCTGAGTGCCACTCCAATCCCTTTCCCTTACCCAATCTGCTGCTAAGCTTCCTGCTCCCTGGCCAAGCTGCTTCTCTGCTTTCTGCCCTGTGCTCCCTGATTGATCTGATGCTCTGCTTTCTGCTCTCTGTCCTATCTGCCAGTGCGCTATATGTCCCCTCCCCGATCTGCCACACGCCACACGTGGGGGCTGCCCATGCCACTTGTGATACCTGTGCCATAGACTGGCCATCCCTGTAATACAGCATCATTGTTTGTGCCTCCAAAGCCTGTCCACCAGGCACAAAATGATCCATATTAGAAAAAATAAAAAGGACAACATTCAAAATGCCAATCTGAAGCAATGGGAGGATCCCAGTTGCAGAGACAAGGGTTTGTACAACATCTTATACAATGGGGTCCTGATGCAGGCTGTGGCCCTTCACTACTGCAATATAAGTGGTAGATAATAATAACACATTACAAAGGTATTTACACTTAAGACCGAACATATTCATGCTGTTTCATAGGCTTGTCTGCAATTCTTTGAACTCACACCAATAGTTAACTACGAGGCACAATACTCTTTTCTGCAAGCATCTGGATTATTTTCTTCATAGGAATTATACCATGCATAGTATTCAATGGCATTTCTCTTGTGGATCAGGTTATGCATGTGCCAAAGCATTTGCAGCATGGAGCCCACATACTGTAATTTTTATTTCTCTTGCCTCCTTAGATTGTATATTTATGGCCGTATATTAAACGGGTTAGGTGTGCATTTTCAAGCGTTTCATTTTACCCCTGTATTTATAGTCTGCTTTCCAAATAAAACCTTTACAGTACTTACATATAATTAGCTAGATAACTATGTAGTATAAGTATGATGACTAAGCTTTGAAACAACCACACCACTAAATGTGTCAAATGAGAGACAGTTGAGATTACTAATAACCTGCATTTCCTCTATACCCGTGGCCAACTTTATGAGCTTCAGTCAAAGGTCTAAATGTCCAAGTTAGACCTAAATGTCTCATTTAAATTTACCACATTCAATAGCTATTTATGCTATTATCCTGTTCCAGAAGTTGCATAAATCCTTTTACCTTGGCTTTCACTTTACGTCTTACTTCAGCTGGTGATGTATAAAACCAGGCCATGTAGAAATGAACTTGGTTCTACTGCAGATATGTACGTGTATGGCTAACTAGCAATTATTGATTTTGTGGGCAGAGCAAGATGCCTTCCTTCGAGGAGCCATTACATTGTAATTTGCTGTTTGCTGAGCTACTAAAGTTCAGTGCCTTTACCACACTGCAATGAGAGAAGCACTGGCTTACCTGAGGAATAATTGTGAGCTTGGATCGTAGGTCGTGAAGACCAATCTCTGAAATTCTCACACCGTCTATTTTAATGTCTCCCTTCGCAGCTTCCAGGATCCTGAAGAGACAGAGGGTCACGGAAGACTTCCCAGCTCCAGTTCTTCCGACAATTCCTATCTAAAATGCACATTGCAGAATTAGGAACAGGACAATTAATAATTCTTACCAATTCTAATAAGAATTTAGAAATGTGATATTAACCCCTTTCGAGGAGAAACAGATTTTAATACAAGAGCTGATGCTAAAAAGAGAAAATACATCCATACAATAATCTTTCTCCCTCCCTAATTGCCCTCATTTCCACTTGTCATGTATTATGCTAAGTAGGTGTTATCACTCCATGAGTTTGTGCAGTAACAAGTATAAATAGGTATATATAATGTATGGATTTGCTGAAGATCTAATTAAGCTAAATGCATACACCTCGCTTCCAAAATGTAGCTCCCATTATGAATGCTTAGCTCACGGGCAATTCTTCCTCCTTAACCAGAGCCCCTTAACTGGGGGACTCTCCCAGAATAAGCAGCAAAACAGATTTTCCCCAGGGACATGAGGCAAACTAGCATTTTCAAACCTGTTGAGATGGAACAAAGCTGACAAGAGAAAGGTTTTGGATGGTTCTTTGATGCAGAAAAATCAAAGTTTTCTCCAACAGGATCACTTCCCTCCATCACACAAACTGCCCAGATCAAAGTTAGACGCAAGAACTGCTTGGACTCAGAAACGCACCAACCCTGTGCTGGCCTTCGGGAGAAACAGTGATGCTAGACACTTCCTTTGAAGTCTACATGAGCATTTTAAACGCAGTACGTCAGATTCACTGCGCCTGTAAATGGAGTTATGTCCTTTAACACTAGCTGAGGATCTGTCACAGCCACTTTTGTTACAGCAAATCCCACGTGAAACACCAGAGACAACATGCGGTATCATACCTTTTCTCCACCGTTCACCCTGAGGCTTAGGTCCGTCAGTACCAGATCTAGGCCTTTCCTGTACCTCACCGAGTAGTTAACAAACTCTACCTCTCCTTTGGCCGGCCAGTCTTCTGGTGGCCTCTTGTCTTCAATTATCCAGGGAGCCTAAAAGAAAGTGGCAGAGAGTAATACTCCTTGAAGGCTTGAAAAGGGGCAGACTGATTTAAAATACTACAGTTGTGGTATGGGAGCTGCTAAAGCATTTAAAAAAAAACAAACAAACAAACAAAAACAAACAAATAAAAAAAACCCAAAAAAACAAAAAAAAAAAACCCTTTTCTTCTGCATCTGGTGGACCAATTAGCAAGAAAAACTGACCCCTTCATTTCAATCCATTCTTCTAGGGCCCAAACCGAATCTGGTGCGAAGCAGCACAGTTCCACTGCCTTCAATAGCAGTATGATCGACAGAGTCTTTTGGTTTGAGTTGATCTCTTTGATTAGACCAACTTGGAGGGGCTGATGTTTCTAGCAAGCTTTTGGATAGCACAGTATCTTTTTTCAAGTGAAGTGGAGCGCAGAAGCAATGTGTTGTTTTACAGCAGCTCAAGATCTGGCCCACAATATATTTTTGTGTCTTCCCTGGCTTCCTGGCTCAACACATTGCTTCAGCTTCAAGGCTGCACACAGTAGCCGTCCTCTCATCCTACCTCCCACAATCCTCCCTCTACTGTGCACCGTAACTAAAAATATCTTGTGTGTCCACAGAGAAGTAGATCTCATGGCATAACTATCTATCTGCCAAGCTGAATAACTTGCTTGTGCTGGTGCATTTTGGGATGCTGGGTAGCAATCCCAAACTGCCGTTGCTTTTGGTACCAGATGGGAAGGACTGTAGGTGGGCTCTTTCGACAACACTGTGCATTGTGGTTTGAGATACCCTATGGAAGAAAATCACGGGAGACCCGCAGCCTGTCTAAACTGACTAAGAGAGGTACTGTGTCAGACCTGTGGAGAGCCTGCTGACGGCAGCAGGGATAGATCACATTCCTGTCCACCCGATTAGGGCCTTGAATTAAACGAACTGCATGTAGACAACAGGGCAAAATTTCTGTGCGCGAAAATATATTTCTGTGCAGTTCCATTGACTGCAGCAGCATTTTGCCTGTCCATCTCAGTAGCAAATTTGGCTTTGTATCAACACCAATAGTAAAATTCTGTAGTACAGATGAGCCCAAACTATCCTCTTGAGCAGTGATTCTCAAGCTGGGTGCCCACAGCACCCTGCGGTGTCTTGAGATCTTTTCAGAGGTACCGCCATGAACTGTTAGCACTGTTAGGTGTGCAAACGTGAGTCATAAGATAAACCTGGAGATTTCAAACAGGAGTCTATAGTGTTAAAAACATTCAGACCTTGCTGTGGTCCTTCTGCCTTCTTTGCAAAAGAAGAATTGCTCTATTCTTTCTCTTCAGTCAAAATGAGTGAAAACTAAGAGCTGGCATTTTCCGAGGGTTGCCTTGAATCTAATAGGGTTGAGAACCACTGGTCTAGAGCATTATACTTATCTAAGTTAGGCAGGAAGGCCCTGAGAGCAGAATCCTCCTGGTTTTAGTGTCTAACAAAGTGCCATGCATATTTACATGTTTCTAAGCATAACATGCTTGCTTGCGAATGCTTCAGGAGCTGACCTCGGTCTCAGTTTCTGAATACTCTTTCACTCTTTCTACAGCTACAATGTTGCTTTCAAGGTCAGAAGCCATCCGTACCATCCAATTCAGAGCCACTGTCACCTGGACAATAAAAAGAATAAACCATTACCCCAGAGAAGGACAGGAGTGTAGCATATAGTTTACAGTATTAATCTCATTATAGGCTGTTTTTACAGCAATACCCTAAACTACAATATGTTGCAGTATGTTGCCTGCCCCAGATGATGTTGTGATCCACTCCATCATCTGGTGCAGGCAACAGGACCAAAGTTTACAGACAGGTTGTGAAATTTAGGAGACCTGGATTGAGGTCCCATATCTGCTACAGACCTGGTTTGTAACAGTGGTCAAGTCCCTTAGGGCACTTTTACACATGCTCCAGGGGCGCTTTAATTAGAGCTGCTCTAATTAAAGCACCGCAGCATCTCATGTCTCAATTTCTCTGCGCTTCAAAATGGCAGTGGGGGTACTTGAACTAAAGGTCTTTTGATGAGCTTTAGTTCAAACACCCCTGCCGTCATTTTGGAGCACGGGGACGCTGATACATGAGACATGGGAGGCTGCTGGAGCGCAGTAATTACCACGCTCCAGCAGACTTGATTAATTGAGTCTGCTCTGACACACTGTAATTACAGCATGTCGGAGCATCCTCCCAGCACGTCTACAGGCACCCCTATTTTCACTCTCCCTCATTTCCCCATCTCTAAAATGGGACTGTCATTGTCATCATCTTCTTTATATGGCTTCAGGGTAGGGTCAGCTGCTCAGAACATTATTCTCCATTTGTAGTGATCTACTGCATCAGTTGACTGAATGCTTGGGTGTCTCCTATCTGTCCCAATGTTGTTGGTCTTGATCATCATCTCAGCCTCTTGCCAGTCAGAGTCATCTTGTAGATTATCTGTGTAGTCAGTGGTCTCTCTGTCCTGCCTCATTATATAGCTAAGCCATCTCAATCCAGCTTCTCTGACTGTTTGGTGACTTTTTGTACTCCCAAGGCTGTCCTAATGCTATCTTTCTCACCTTCTCCTTCAAGCCGGCTCCAAGAATCCATTTCAACATTATCATCTCTGCTTTTACTAGTAACTTTTCCTTCTTCTCATGGTCCAGAATTGCATCCCTCATATCACCCTTGTCTCATTGCTCTTTTGTGCAAGTTGTATTTTAGTTCAGATTAAGATCTTTTTATCACAAGTTACCCTAAACATTTCTCCTCGCAGGGACAGAAGCAGGGATACCGTCTTATCTATTTTGAATGCAAGCTCTTTGAAGTGGTGACTACCTGTAGCACATAAGGGACCCAGTCTCAGAGGTGATCACTGGAAATGTTCATATAAATTCCTCATTTGTGAAGAACGCAGGCCTTCTAGAAGTAGTGAGCGTGAGTGTGTGTAAAAACTGTTATTACCACCACACTGGGTGATAACAGTTATTCATTAACAAGGATTATTATGAGTACTTCTCAATAAGATGGTAATAGGACAATGCTATGGATAAAACATGTTCATGAACACTCATTTGAGATGGGAAATACACACCTGTAACGCATAGGATACTGAAAGTCCTACGAGGCCGGCGTTCAGGCTGTTTTTACCCAATACAGCAAAGAGAGCAGCAAAGAAGACAACACAACTTCCTACAAATTCAACTCGAATACCCAGCCACCTGTTAAATAAGCAAACATATAGAGGGGTAAATAATCACTTGAAGTGCCACAGAAACATTAGCCTACCTAAATGGTGGGTATGGCCTTACCTGTTCGATACAATGCCGGGATAATAACTTTTCTGATTTTCATCTACTTTTATGTCACTGATGTCTATGAAGGATTTCTCTCTTCCATAGGCTCGGATGACACTGGTCCCTGAGACTGTTTCCGAAAAATGGGAATAAATGGGGGATCTGCTGACAGACTCCAGGCGCTTTAGCTGACGTGAGGTGGCCACATAGAACCGCTGCCAACATTAAATGTAAAACAAATCACACAAAATAATTCTTAAAAATTTAAATAAGCAATGAAAACAGTACAATAATACAATTCTAATCTAAATATTTCCAACGCTAATGCTAATAGTAAAGACTGATAGTGACTAATGATGCCACTGAAATGAAAAAGTCCACAGTCAAATGACTATAGGTTTTCCATTGACATCACTGATCAGTACACTTTAGATCAGCTCACAGATGCGCTGACATGTGATTATGAAAAATGCTGTCTTATCCCCCTGTGATGCAGACATATATATGAAGGAAAAAGTTATAAATCTATTCCCGGTTTCCAGTTGCTTGGCTTTGGCATGATCTAAGATACGGACAAACAATACATTAACAGAAATTACTGCTGGGCGTGGACTTATCACCTTGTCTGCCGCTCTCCAGTAACAGTTTGCGAGCAGATTCTTACTGTGTGCTATGTGAAAGCTAAACTATGCTCAGCTTGACCCTGTTGAAGGCTACATTGCCCCAAGTGATGTTTCAGTTTCTGTGAAGAGCAGATGGGTACTGCAGAATGACTGACACAGCAAGTCCTTCCACAGTGTCTGATGAAGTGAACCCAGGTTCCTGAAAGCCTGTGCCTCCTCTCTATACACCTTATTTAGTTAGTCTACAAAGGTACATATCTACCTTGCCATCTAACATGGTAAGTCTCCACTCAACACTAAATCACAATAATCTGTTCGTTTGTCCATGACCCTAGAAACACCACATCTAAGGAGGATGACACTCAGTCTGCACAGCCCAATTCAAAATCAGACAACTCTGTCAAGAGTGCAAGGAAGACTGCCCATTAACATGATATTATCTTCAAGGTGGGCACCTCTTTTGGTAACTTGATTGAAAGTACTAAATTCAGGCTCCTGATATCTATCAGACCAAGCTGGATTTTGTCTGGCTTTAACTTAGCCAAAGAAGGTACAACAAGAACTAATGGTTGGAAGTTAAATGGGTCAAGAGTATCCATATTTTCTTTCCATAAATATATTTTATACGGTTTCAAAAAGTCATCTTGTGAGCTTTTCAAAAGCTAAAAAAAAAGAAAGTTTAAAAAAAAAAAAAAAAGCTTATTGCCTTTTTTAGGGCCTTTTAGGATCAGCGCAAAGAGAGTATTTCCAAAGTTTCTGCAGGGTGGTAAAAGTAAGAACAAAACAATAAGAACAGTACCATAATTGTCAGGACAATGGCCCCACAAACAATAAATTACCTGGACAAAGAAGTATAGAATTGCTAGGGGTATAATAACCACAGCAAAGAGTGGAGTGCTTGTTACTATTACAATCATGGTTTGCAAAGAGGTGAAAAAAGTTTGTAGGAACATCAAGATGGTAGGTGGTAACACTTCATCAATCACATATATGTCCTTAGAGAAGCGGTTGATGATCCGACCTGTTGGTGTGGTATCAAAAAAAGACTGGGGCGTGTGAAATTTGTTCTCCAACAGTGCAGCGTGAAGCTTTCGGGCTGCACTGATGCCACCCATTGCCAGCGTGAAGGAAGAGATGAGCACTAGGACGCCTGTTAACAGAAGGGAGAAAGTTGCAGAAGTTTGTATGCTCAGTGTGCACAACATGAAGCTGTTTGACTTTAACAGAATCAGCTGTTTTCATTGTGGTGGAAGACTTTCCTCTTTATCTGCTATATCTAGGCCCATTCCTGTGCTACACACTGCTGACTGCAGGGAAACAACTTAGGTGAATAAAGTCAGCAGAATCCAGCCAGGCAGCCCATGTGAGACAGGTACGTATCTTATTTCATCCTTGTGTACACCCTCCATGCAGCTTTCACCCTGCCCTTCAGTCTCCATTTCATTCTCACCGCTCCCATCCTAATCCTACAGTTCTTACTTAATATCTCTGTGCCCCTCCCAGCACCTTGCATCATTATCCAAGCTTCTTAATCCTTCCTTTCCTTGGGATCAAGTAGTTCCTGAAGTGTCAATTCAATCAAGTTTTACCAACCCCATGTTACTTTTTTACCTTTTCTTGCAAATCATCTTTTCTGGAGCACAGGACCCCTTGCAGTTGTTGCAATGACATTCCCAGTTCTTTCTTCTTTGCTACATGAGGATGAATCATAACTATATTCATCTGAGAAATATTTTTACCTTGCAAGAGGCCCAGGGCAGCATAGACACCGAGTCGCGTGCTTGTGTTATGCTGAGTTCCATTTATCACAGGTTCATTGGTCCAGTCGCTGAGCCATACATTGGCCCCGATCGCAGCAGCATTTTGACAGCAATACAGGAAACATATAATTACACATACTATGGGACTGATGGCCTTCATGTACTGCCAAAATACTGTCAACTTGACCTGAAAATTTGCAGAGCACAGTGTATTTATATGTCTACATTCAACTCTAGTCTGGAGCTGAGAGAGAGAATAAGCAAAAGAATCCTTTCCAGATCTGTCCAGTAGAGGGACCACTAAGCTTGAGAGTGCCCAAACCTCCAATAAATTGCAGGAAACAATTTAGTTAGCTTCACTTGAAGTCAGGAGATTGCTTCTTTGAAAGAGACAGCTTCATCTCTTGACAGTGGGTGGCAACTACTCTGAAACAGTCTGTCTGGCTTCGCTTTTTTGGGATCACGCATAATTTTTCTTTAGACTACTGTGCTTCAGGTGGGGCTAATTAGCTGTCTCCCATACTAACTGGGCCACCTGCACTGCTACCTGGACACAGCTATGCTGCTGGCAGCTTATGAAGCAGCCCAAGGTGGAGCAATGCAGCGTGTTTAAGGGCACCACTGCTGAGCAGAGCAGGTTTCCCATGCAGACTTGCTTAGAGAGGGACCCACAGCAGAACTGCATCTTTAAAAGAATAAGGGGAGGGCATAATTATAAGCATGATTCCCATTGACTGAGCTGCTTTGGAAAGGTTCATGATATATGGCAGCAACTAATAATGCTTAACCTGGTGACTCTCAACCAAGGGGTTACAAGATCTTTTGAAGGGTGACCTTAGGTGTGAAGAGATAAGCAGGTGTTAGGAGATAAGCGCAGAGCCAAGGCTTGTCCCTGCCTGTCCCCAATGCCTGGCCCCTCTCTGCAAGCAGGTAAGCACTGTAAGAAATGCATTCATTTTTGAAATGGAGTGCTGCTCAATTCACAAAAGTTAAGGAGGCACCTCAAGTCTAACAAGTTTGAGAACCACTGATTGAACCAATACCTCCTCCAATTTCCATGACACTGAGCCCTAACAATGTTGAATGTGTAGAAAATGCAGTCTGGAGGCTGCTCTGTTTTTTAACAGAGTCCAGGAAACTTTTTGGTGGCACAAGCCTCCTAGGTATTTTCATTGCGTCTTCCTTCCTTCATGTGCTCAGTCATTTACCACCCCTTCCTCAACTGAGAAGGCTATCCTTCAGCAGAACGTGGAGACCGTCTGGGGAGGACAGCTAACCCAGGATTGCATACAGGTTGCAAAACGTTTTTGTTTCTACAATGTGGTGTAACAAATGCTCCCGAGAGACAACGGAAAGGACAATTTTAAGTTAAATAAACTATCTTCATGCAGCACACATCTAACGGGAGGAATTCACTTCTGTAGACTGTCAGGTACAAACAATAATGCTACATTTTAAAAGCGTCTAGATAATTCTGGGACAAATAACATTTGGAGCTATGCAGTGTGAAGACTGGTGGGATCAGACACGTTTCATGGAGCAGTATAAAGTGCTGTCCAGGTACAGAAGCCTCTGCTGATATTATCCCAGACGTAAAGTCCCAGGCACCTGATCTAGTACAACAAATCCTAAACTGCCTTGTGGCTTTTGTAAAGCTATCGTCTCCCTGCATTTGGAATGCAACATGCTTAACAGAACACGTTTTTATGTACAATAAAATGTTATATATAAACTTGAATATAATTAAAAGAAAATAAAAAGAGAAAAAAAAAAAATCAACACGTACCGTTCCCGTTTCAGTAGTTTCCGCCTGAATAAGTTTTTCTGCGCGATTTTTTTTTGTTGGCAGAGTCTCTACTGGCTTATTTTCACATACTCTTCTTCTTGTTGACATTTTACTGGGACATTCTCCCACCTCTGAAGATATCACACTAATTTGCCTGTTAAAATGAGGAGTTTATTAGGAGTGGGAAGGAAGATCATGGCAGTTCAAATGCAGGCCTGAGGCTGAGAAGACAGGCACTCACTTCCCAGTTCTGCTGCTTGCCTCCTGTGAGATGTTCGCACACCTCACTGCTGCAGATATGGGCAGTTAGGCTAAATACCTACATACACAATCCAACTGTCAGAGGTGATGAGAAAAAAATTCCTACTGAGCTCTATGGAAGCTGCTGAGGCTCAGCACGTATAATAAGCAGACCCTGTATTTACAAGCCTGACTTTAAAGCCAGAGTGCTGTTGTAGCCAGAATGGTCCAGGGAATATGAAAAAAAGCAAGGTTTATTTGGTAATATCTTTTACCAGACCCACCATATACTTGGGAGGGATGTGAGACAAGCTTTTGGGCATGCAGAACCCTTCACCAGATCTGGGAAAGAAGCAGATGCAGCCTAAACCTAGATATAAGGTCAAACGGGCTGTTTAGCTTCATGGATATGGTTATGTAGAGAAGGGAAGAGGGCAGTTTGTGAAGCAAAGAGAAGGTATCAGAAGTAGCTGCAAAACCAGTAACGGGCAGCTGAAATAGGTAACCTAGCTATTGAAAAGAACAAGACCATTCAAAAGAGAAAAAGGTCATTATTACCTGGGGAGCACAGGGAAGGTAGCAGAGAAAGTAGCTAAATATAGTAAGGTAACTTTGGCATCATATCAAGCTGATACCCTCACTAGAGAGCCACCAAGATTCACAGAATCATCCTCAAACCACTTGACACTCAAAGGGCCAAGTTTTTGTCAAGGCATAATAGACTTCCTCAACAAGATCCAGAACATTAACCACCTCTGTGTAAAGACAGACCATGAATATCACTAGCCTATACACTAACGTCTCACAAAATTAAGACAATACTGCCAAAAATACCTGTAAGAACATGGGACTACACACAGATTTACCACCACGACACATGGCACAAATCATCCATTTCATCCTCACCTACAGCAACTTTACTTTCAACAACCAACACATCCTCCAAATCATGAGCACATCTGTGGGCACAAAAATGGTCCCCTCTCCAATATGCCAGCCACTTCATCAGCCACCTTGAAGAGAAGTTTTCAGAAAACTGTGCCATCGAACCGGTCCTTGTACTTGTGATACATACATGACATTTTCATTGTCTGGACTGAACATCTGGACTCACTCGTTGAAGTCTACCATAACTTCAACAACTACTACCCCTCTCTCACATTCTCTCTTGCATTATCTTATACAAACATCAACTTTCTTCATACCACAATCCGCACATCCAGGATGGCACCCTACAAACCACGATACTAAAAAAAAGTAGAGATCACTGCACTTAAATCCACAAAACCAGTAATCATTCCAAACATACTGAGAAAACTGTCATCCATATCCTGGTCCTCAGGTACAACCACATCTGCTCCGAGTAGCTGTGGCACTCACAGCACTGACCTAACCCCTGCCTTTATCCAGCAAGGACACTTTGCCATGGAAGTAGACTACATCTTTGAATGAGCTACTCAGAAACTCCCAAGACTTCCAAGACACTCAGAGGACAGGTGGGAAGCAAAGGCCTATTAGTAATCTAATTGGCAGCAGCCCAGCGCCGTGTGTATAAATATTTACTGTAGCACCATCTGAGAACTGCACAGTCACTTGGAATTAATTCACTTCTGATTAAAAACAGAGTCACAGGAATAGATGTTTTACATGATATTATTATCCATTATTTTTTTAAATGGCCACAGGAGGCTTCGACACAGAAGGAACGGAAGTCTGCAATGAAAGATGCAGAGGCTGGTAGCTTAGCTACGTTATGCTAGCAGCTACCTTACCTGCTAATGTTAAAGACCGTTTCCTTAAAACATGCTTCATGCTCAGCTAAGCAGTGGGTTCACAAAAATCCTTAATGTTTACCTTAGGAACTGCTTGCGGACTTCATTTGTCACTGGTTCATTATCTGTGATATCAGTGTGGTTGCTGAGTGTATCTTCAGCCAGCAAGACTTCTTCTTCCCCTAGCACTGAAATGGAAGATTGCATCTAAACTTTATGCTGAACAAAGCAGAAACTCAAGAGGCAAACAGTAATTGGAAGCCTGAGTCCTGAAACTCATTGCAACAGTTTCCCTATGCAGATAATGGTGATTATACCTGACAGGGCCGCTGGCATGATTTATTCATGTTTGTCAAGTATTTGAAAGACATTATGAGTGCTAAGGGGTGGCATTATTATCACTTCTAGCCACATTTGTGAACAGAACCCGCCCTTCCAGTGTTTCAGCCTGGAAAGCTAGGAGGAACTGCTCTCTCTTGTTGCCAGCAAGGTTACGTACAACTTCTGCTTCCTATTTGTCTTTTTACTCCTGACACATATTGCTACATCCAAGGAATACATTAACCAAATCACACTCATTTTCCACCATGTAAATTCAGACATATAAAAACCTGAAAGAACTCAGATTAGGAAGTCATTTGCATCAGGCTGTACAACAGAAATATTGTGCTCTGGATACTCCTTTGGGACAGTCAAGTCCAAATCTGTCCTTAGACTGCCACTGAATTTTCCCACCAGTAACATCTTTGCTAACTGTTGAAGTCTCTCTCTCACAATTTAGAAATACTGAAAGAATCCAATTTCTCACATTATTGTACAGAAGAGGCACTATAACAGGGGGGTCTCTTCTGGGCCAATTTGCCTTTGGCCTGCCCACCTGTTTCTGGGCCAACTGCCTGCCTTCTCCCCTGCCATACCTTGATGTTAATTAATTAAGTTGTTAAATAGGCGAGAGGCTGCCTATTTCTTGCCCCAATGCCAGGGGGCGCTATCTGCAGCTCCATTCCTCCCCTACACCAGAGCCCAAGCCTTGCAAATGGCATCCACTAGTTGTTAACATCACCGGCCCCACTCTGGGCCCCAGAATCCTCTGGTCCAGACCCCACTTGGCCTACTCCGCCTTCATTTGGGGCTGCCTAGCTCCCTGAGCTGTTCCCCCTTACAGGTGTGGTCCCCCTGGGCACCTTTGGCTACACTGGCCTTGGCCTCACCTCCAGGCCAGTCAGAACCCCAGGCCCTCGGCCTCACAGTGGGCCCCTGGCCCTTTGACCTTTCCAGTCCTGGCCCCAGCATTGACCAGTTGGGAGATTTCAAGTCAGGCTTCTGAGTCTGTAGCCCCATTCTCTCTCTTGGGTCCACCTTCTGGACCTTACTAGGGGGTAACTCACCTGGTTGTGGGAGCTGGGGTTATTAAGGCACCCCAACCCACCTTTCACCAGGGTGGTAACTGGGCTGGTATTTCCTGGGGACTCCTGCACCACTGAGAGCCACACCAGGCCACCCACTCCCGGCAGGGTGCAGTTTTAGGTCATGCCCAGGACCAGGAGCCTCTGAACTATCCCCTACAGCTCCTGCCCTTCCCTCCAAGTGTTCCAAGCAGCCTTGCAGCCAGGCAATGTTACTACCTGGGCTGCCAGCAGCAAACTGCCCTGTTTATATGGGCGGCCAGAGATCTAAAATGGCCGCCACAATCAAGCACCTGCTGGCTGCTTGTCTGAGTCCTTAAAGTGGCAGGCACCAATAGTGCCCTGCCACAGGCACATAGCCTAAGGCAGAGGAATGTTTTGTTTTTTTTCCAGAGGAAAACAATCTATTTGGGAAGACAGCTACTTACTCAAATTTCAGTATTCCCATCATTCATCCTTTACACTAGAAGGTGTTATCAAGCTGGCTTAGTTAGCCTAAAAAAAAATGACAATACTTAACATTTTCCTTGCCAGCTGGAGAAAATAAAGGAGGCCAGATTATTACACTTTCCTGATCACATTTATGCCTAGAAAAATCCAGGCCTGGTTGACTTAAGCTATAGCTTAAGAAGAACGAGAAACACTGTACTTGTTGGCTCATCCTCTTCTGTGTCTTCATCAGGTGCATAATTTCGAAGGAATTCTGCAAAAGCTCCGTTTTGCTTCAAAAGCTCTTCATAGGATCCCATTTCAGAGACCCTGCCATCCACAAGAACGACTATATGGTCCACCTGAGGTAGAAAGCTGATGCCATGGGTCACCAAAATTCGGGTCTGCATGGGAAGAAGAAACGCCTCTGTATTACAACACCACCTCTGCAACTACTATGTTCCATTACTGGGAGGAATTTAGACAGGCATAACATAACTCCCCATCAGAGCCATCCCTAGTGTATGGTGAATCAGGGTGACCACCCCAGGCCCTGCACATTGGGGGGCCCTGTGCAACCAGGTGGAGCAGTTGTGGCGCCTCCTGTGGGCCCACCTGGAGCTGGCAGCTGAGCCCCATGCTGCAGAAGAAGCACAGAGACCACCCCCCACCCTTTGCAGGGGTACTATGGCCCCACACAGTGTTTAGGGGGCCCCGCACAGGCTGATTTGCTTGGGGTCCCAAACCCGCTAGGATCAGCTCTGCTCCCCCTAACTAACTCAGAGTTCAGCTAAGGCACTAGGCAGAAGAACCACGACTGTTCAGAGAGAGTCATGCAATGTTCAACAGTGACAGGGCTTTGGCATTATCTCTCACTTGAAATGATGGTGTTTTTAACAGTCTATCAGAACTGGGAAACTAATCTAGTACTGATGTAGGGTATGACTAAACCATGATCCAGAATTAGTCAGTTGCTTTAATCTAATCAAGTCAAGTGCTAACAGTGGTGTAGCTCTGGCAAGGCAGGCTTCAGCGCATACTGCACAAGTAAACACGAACTTGGCACCTGAAATGTGTGTAGTTGCAACTGGCTGTGGTTAGTTCCTGAGCTAGCTTGTATAAGGCTAGCTTATGTATGTTCATGTGAACTAGTCACACCTTCAATGTACATGCTTAGTCACAGAGGGCACAGTTTATATTGCTGAATCATGCTTCCTACAGCCTATTCTTTTCCTTGCAGTTTCCCTTATAAGTTCTTATCTAGCCTGATACTGTATCTGAGACAAGACCATCAAGGAGTCAGAAGGTTAAAAAATACCACAAAGTTTGGTGGAAGCAATGACTTGTTCATGAGTGTCACCTGTGTGGTATTGTGGGTGTAATAAACAACCCTGAGGCTTGGTCTATCCCACAAAGTTCTGCCAGCAAAACTACAGGGAAGTCCTACTTACATCTCCTCTGTGGCAGCAGACCTCATCTTTGTCAGCACACCACCACCAGCTCTGTGACGGAAGACTTCTGCTGCCACCCAGTACCCATGCCCCCATGGCAGCTACTGGGTGGCAGTATCTGTGGCCCCTGTAACAGCTAGTGCCCTGCATGCCTGGTGCCAGAATTGCTGCCATAAGTCATGCAGAGCTGCTAGGAGCTGGGGTGAACTCTAGCAGCTTCATTATGGCAGCTTCTGTCTGCCAGCAAAAGCCTTAAGGTTGTAAACCAAGTCCAAGAAGGGGAGTGCAGTAAATCCCCCGAGATGCTTCTATTTTCAACATAGCCATCGTGGATATGTTCCATTGGAAAGCTTGGTTAACCCTTGAAGGCTCAGGAGTTTGGGCTTGTGTAGAAAAGAGAATCCAACTTCAGGCTTACCTTTTCTTTAAGTGCTCCTTCTGGTCCGATAACTTTATCAAAGATGTGCTTTGCAACGTGGGAATCCACAGCCGAGAGAGGATCGTCTAACAGGTAGACATCAGCATCGCTGAACACCGAACGAGCAAGGCTAACTCTCTGCCTCTGACCCCCTGAGAGGTTGATGCCCTGTGGGGTAGGAGGAGAGTACAAAATACATCACATAAGTAATCCACAAACACTAAAAGTGCTCGGATGCACTCACATGTCATGTATAAGCCTGAGCACAGTGTGGGAACTTCAAAGGAATAGCACACTCAGTTGGAGGGGAAAAGGAATCCTTATACAGCCAGCACACCTTATTTCCATTCAGATCACAGCTTAAAGGTGGAGAATTTTATCAGCTTAAAGGTGGAGAATGTCATTTAGGAACCCTCAGACAAAATCAGTTCTGTAAAAGGGTTTCCAAACTGCATCATGTTCCTGAACTCGGCATGAGTTACCTTGCACTTGTGGAAGAAGGTGGAGTGTGCAATCACCTGGATCAGACTGCCTTGCCACATTTAGAATTTTACTGGCAACTGAAGATGCTCAGCAAGAAAAAGATCAGATTTAGGACCGCAAGTCAGTAAAACACTTCAGAGCACACAGTTAAAGTTAAGGACACGTTTAAGTCCAAATGACTACAGCTGAACAGAAAACACTTCCTTCTGTGCTTTGTTGAACAGGATGCACTTAACTGAAAGCTAAGAATATGACTAAAAACGTTGTTAGAATGAGTCCCGAATATCTATAAAACAATCTCTTTTTAGCTGCAAAAAGCAGCAGCCATCATGCACGTTTGCTGTTAAGGGTCCTACCTTTTCTCCTATCTCAGTTTGATCACCTCCTGGAAGCACCTGAAGGTCAGTTTTTAAAGCACAGGCCTCTAGAACATTTTGGTACTTGTGTTCATTAGAAGGCTGGCCAAACAAAATATTGTCCTTCAGGGTTGCATTCTGGATCCATGCTTGCTGTGGCACATAAGCAACAGAGCCCTAAAAAGGAAGGGAAAAGAAATTCACACCTCTGATTTTTATTCATTGCTAAACAGATTTAACTTTACTAAGCAATTTAGGGTTAATGATTATAGCACTAACTCCAATGTTGCATTGTACTTTAATATGCATTGAATTGCTAATGGACAGTAGAAATCTCAGTAGAAAACAGAACTTGATTAAACAGGTATTTGCAAAACCCAAACACACCAAGAGGATGGTTTAAGCATAAACTGCTCAGAAACCCTGCTCTAAGCTAATTTGAATGAATGCATTATGCACAGGTATCTAATATACTAGGTGTATGAGTGGGGACAGAAGGTCTAAGCAGCACCAACCTTGACTGCCACTTCCCCTTCTAGTTTTTCCATTTCACCAAGGATAGCAGATACAAGTGATGACTTCCCACAGCCAACGTGGCCAACAACAGCAATCAAAGAGCCACTGGGGACCAACAAATTAACACTGTGGAGGAAATAGGCTGGACATTAATTAAACATTCATTTACTAAATATATTATAACTCTTTTAACCAGGCATAAGGTATGCACTGACAGTCATCCTGACCTCAGCCAATGCAAATAGATGGATTCAGTAAATGCAGATGAGTTACTCTTTCCCCTCTCCCTAGTTGTTATAGCGGGTACAATTTGTATTGTAGTAGTACATAGGAGCCCCATTTATGGATCAGAACAATTTCTCTATCAGCTTCGTGGTACACACTGAATTCCTTGGGAGGAAATCATCAAAGCCAGTAACAAGCCCTATAGATAAAGTTGTCTGATACTTTTCATGACTAGCTTACTTGGTCACAAATGGTTAAATCCAGTTTGGAAGCAATCAAATGATTTAAGGGACTTCCTCACCAAGAAAAAGTATCCAGGGAAAAATGGAGGGATTAAATGTTTTGTTCAAAGATGTTCAAACCATTTAACTGAAACATTTAGAGTACTAATAAATGCTACTGATCTATGATGGGCAAAACAAAACTTTCAGGTACAAATCATTCCCCTTCTGATGTCTTAACTTAGACCTTGATCCAGAAGCTGCAGCTGTGGGGTCAGTCTCCCATACCTCACCCCTACCTTTTGATATCAATATAGGCTCCAAATGCATAGATCCAAACAGTACCAGACTAGGGCCTTAGGAATTTCTCAGACTCTTCAAAAACATGATGAGAAGATAGGGCTTGCTAAAATGTATTGAAAGCAGGATTCACCACCAGAACTCCAACCTGCTCTTTACTGTCTTCCTGTTAAGCAGCATTCTCCCTCCGCCAGCTGGCATTTCAGGGAAGAGTGCCTTTTTCAAGTGCCAAATGGCTAGTAATCCTATATGGATCTTCCCGAATAAAATTCCCGAACAGGGAAGTTCACTTGGTTGCAGGTTTTGTTACAAAATGTGGACTTTCTCCAGGCTTAGGAAGGCTGGCCCATGTTATCATTTCTACTTAAGTGGTTCTATAACCTGCTCAGTAGCATAAGAGCCCAATATAAGAAATGATGAGACAGTACGCAAAACAATGCAAAGTATGCAAGGACTCAACTGAGGCTCCATCTGAGCTTGTTTAAATTCTCATATCAAAAAGCAAAACATGGGAAAGGGCTGCAAACCCAGATTTTGAAAAAGTGTCTTAGATACCACAGGCATGGGCATGGTGTCATAGCCACTGCAGAAGGAAATAAAACCCGCACTGCCTGGATCCTGAAGATGGTAGCACATCTCAGTCACCTCCATAGCAAAACCAGCAACCTATCAGCTCATGCAATTTGCTTACACACAAGCAAATATATATAAGCTGTAATTAAGGAAAAGCTGTAATGTACACAAAGTGTAGTAATATTCTTTTGTAGCAATGAAACGGAATATTCTACAGGATGCCTTGGAAGTGGATTTCTTTAGGAATCCCAAACAGCAGGAATCAGGTAGATGTTGTGCAGTAAAGAAATCTTACTTTTTCAGAGCTGGCTCGAGCTCCTTTGCCCAGCTGAAAGTCCCATTTGTTACAGTGATGGCACAGCCTGTAGAACAAAACAAAGACAGGAGGCAGCAAATGTATTATATCCTGGTGCTGAGTGAGGCATTTCTGCTGAGATGGGAGACAGAAAGGATGTGCTTGTTTATGGGAAAAGGGAACTCGGGGAACATGAAACCTTCCTTTTCTTAAGCATGAGAAGCAAGAGCTGGCGATCTGCTCAGCCACAGGATAAGGCTGCTGAGAGTAAAAAGAATCAGACTCAGGTTGAACGTATCTAGTGAAATCGCGGAAATGTAGAACTGAGATGGAAATCTCAGCCAGCCCAGGCAAGACTGGTCCCTAGAGCTTCTATTAAATGAATTGCCCATTAAAGCTTGCAATGGCCCTATGTAATTGTTACACCATGTTACACAAGAGACTACTCTAGAGTCAGTAAAAGGACGCCAATTTTCTGAATAAGTTGGACAAGATTAGGCCTGCCTCTTAGCAGCTCTACATTTCTCCTCTAACAAGTTACAGATCTGCAGGGTTATTCAGTCCCCTGCAGAATCACAGGACGCCTCCACAAGAGAAGACCGAGAGGGGATCTGGTGACCTTCTATAACTCACCAAGGGGGACCAGCGGAAAATAAGTGAGGCTCTGTTCCCCCAGGCACCACCTGGGATAACAAGGAATAACAGCCACAAATTGACTGAGAGCAGGTTCAGGCTTGATATCAGGAGGCATTACTTTATGGTTGGGGCTGCCAGGCTCTGGAATGGGCTCCCAAGGGAGGTGGTGCTCTCCCCTACCATGTGGGTCTTCAAGAAGAGGTTGGATAGATATCTGGCTGGGGTATTATGTTCCCAGCACTTGTTCCTGCCCAGGGCAGGGCGTCGGACTTGATGATCTGTTCAGGTCCCTACCGATCCTAGAAACTATAAAACTACTATTGCATGCTGTGTTATAGTGCTCCCCTGCTTCCCTGATACAGTCTTCCAGACAAAGCCGGGTTTGATCCAAAGTACCAGTGTGGCAAACTGTGTAAGAACGAAGTGAATTTTATAAAATAAGACTGTTTGCCCACTGAATCTGGGATGCTGTACCACTGGCAAGAGTCAATGCTTGGAAGAAAGAAAAGCTCCCCTCCCAGACATTTGTGTAGCGCACAAGATAGGAAAAAGTCTTTCTGGCTAAAGTGAAAAAAATTCAGCTCATGTCCTGCCATACAGGGTGCTGTTAGCACTTGTTAAATTATAAATGCATGCTCAAGGCAACAGCATAGCAGTTTAGTAAAAAACACGTTGCTTCATTGTCTTAATAAGAGCAAACAATCGCTTCCCAGGACAGGACTTCTTTTCCGAACTCCTTGGAATGACTTTTTTTTTTTTTTGGTAATTCTTCTAGAAAAAGAAATAAATATGATAAATACTTGGTTTTTCTGTGCTACATTAATATAACAACATGCCTTTACCTGGAGTAATCTTTTTTGTTTCCACACAATTTGGATCAAGTTCATCGTGACACAGGAACTGCTGAATTCTCTTTAGGGAAACACTCGCCTAAGAAAAGAAGCAGGTATTACACTTCATCTTTTTTAAAACGGGGAATGATTCCCTTCTCTGCAGGATGGGAAACAGGCAAAACATTGTGCATTTTCACCCTGTAGTTCATAAAAATTTACTCACTTTTCTCCTCGGTTGGGCCATATCCCGAAATTTAAACTTTATAAAATGCATTACAGCAAGTTAGGTTTGCTCAAGGGAGGCAAAATTTGCCCATGGTATTTCATGTACGTGAAAGCTCATATATAAGTTGCTGAGCTTGCTAACGTTGCGTACGGTTAATCAATGAACAGTTAGCTAATTTTGTGCAATGTTAACTAAATGGCATTAGAAAGAAAAAAAATGCTAAATGGGAGAAATTCTGAACTGCTCAGAATCCAGTTTGAAATCTAGAGGATGCTGGGGAGGGGGGGTGAAGCAACTAATGACTCTTACCTGTGCAATGCTGCTAATGACTTGTGGAAGCATGTTGAGTGGAAACCTTAAGATATTGAACAAGGAGAGGGAGACAAAAGCTTTCTGTGCATCCAGGATGTTATTTTCATCCACAGAGACATAGACTGCAAACGTGGTCAGTGCAACCTAAAAGTCCAAAAATAGTTTTGATAAAAATATATTTTACAGCTTTAAGTGTTCACGCTTAAAGAACATTTAAAATAAAATCCTGAAGTCAAAAGGAATTTCTTAGTTACCAGAGGATACCTGGGGTCTTTTTCTTTACGAAGTTCTGCTGGCTTGTGGGACAGTCTATTTAAGGGCTTTACATGTCACCCCCAAACCAATGCTCTTCCATGCCTATTTGTGCAAGCAACAGAAACACAACTTACCAGAAATGGTGCGGAGACCCATGCAAAAGTGGACAAAGCATTTAGATAGGCTGCTTTCTTCAGAATACGCAGCTCATTCTTTCGTATCTCCAGCACTTTCTCCTGAAAGGATAGTTCCCAAGCATATAGCTTCAGCACCTTTATGCCACTCAGAATCTCATTCATCAGCTTAATGCGGGAATCCTTATGCTGCATCTGTTCCACCTGGATCATTCAAAATAGCATTTTTTTTTTTTTAAGGCAGAGACAGAACTGCATACTAATGACATT